TGTGTGTGTGTGTGTGTGTGTGTGTGTGTGTGTGTGTGTGTGTGTGAGAGAGAGAGAGAGAGAGAGAGAGAGAGAGAGAGAGAGAGAGAGTACGCCACATCATACTCGTGCTGCTCCTCAAATGGTGAGGATACTTACTTAAAGGGTCGTAAAGTCGAAAACAGCCAAATATGCGAAAGCAGTAAGACAAAGTGAGGTGGGTGGGTGGCGCCTCCTCTTTTTCAGACAGACCAGAACACACACAATAACACCCCACAAACAAACGGAGGGAAGGGGGGAAGGCATAGGACAGCGAGGCAAAGGGCAGGGAACCAACACCATAGGATGACAAACCACAACACGGCACATGAACTTAGAGGCACGAGAGGAGGAACAAACAGCGAGGCAGAACATAGGTTGAAACGCATGGGGGAGGCACATGAACTTAGAGGCATGAGAGGAGGAACAAGCAGTGAGGCAGTGAATAGGCTGAAAATCATCATGGGGGAGGCGGAAGGGCACAAGTACAAGTATCGAAAAACAGCAAAGCAGCCAGAAGAATAGAAAACAGAAAAGGACAGGCTGGAGGGTAGAGGGGAGGAGGGTGGGCAGACAAACAGCACAAGGCAAGAAACAAAGACCAAAAAAAATAAAATAAAGCTGATGATGATAGATTGTTTCATCGGAGTTGCACCGACTCATCAGGAGGCTGAACCCTCGACAATCTGCGGAATCTCCGTATTTCATGCTTTGGGTCATGAACCCTGACCCTTGTTGAAGGCAGACTGTCCCCAAGCGGAATATAGCAGCGGGCAGCAACCCTGTGGAACACCAGGCAACATAGTAGAGGCAACATGGCTGCACAACGCCAAAAACAACTGCAAGGAACGGCATGTCACGCAGGACATGCAGCACGGCACCATGTAGTGAAGCACAAGGCAACACAAGCAGGGCAGCCACACTGCAAGGGATGAGAGGGCGAGCGGACCAGCAGCTCAACAACCGTGGAGCGGAGCACAAGGCACCAGCAACAAGGCAACCAACCTACAGGGCACACTTGCAGCAAATATGGAAGGCACGACCAGGGGATGAGCAGCACGACAGCGAACCAGCGAAGCACAGGGCAACACCAGCAACATGGCCACACCACGCAGCGAACACAGCAATTCACAGAGAGCCACATGCGAAGCAAGCGGGACAGGCAGCAGGGCAGATGCGGAGCGCAGACGAGGACGTCCACACATCCAACACGGAGCAAAGCAGCACATGACCTACTTACATCACGGTTGAACCCCGCAGACTGTTGGTTCCCACCACCCACCACCCACTGAGCCAGGGAGTCACTCCAACGAACATCCGTCATCACCGACAGGCAATACAGACATCCCGAACCAAGCGGCCCCCATAAGAGTGCAGTAGGCATTCCAGACGAGGAACCACCGACTGTTTGGCACTACTTAGGGGTGCTCAGTTGGGCATACAAAAAAATATACATGGAAAAAATCAAGGGGAGGACATACAACAGAAGAAAGACTGACAGACATAAAACTGATTGTGTGGGTGTGGGTGTGTGGGTGTGTGGGTGTGTGTGTGTGTG